GTAAAACTATTGTGGCGTCTCGCTTTATATGTGAGACCCCCCCGAGGACTATATACAGACGCGAATTGAATCACGTCCGTTTTGCAAGTCCCCCAAGCCCCAATGAGTCAGTGAATCAACTTGGAGTAATATATAATGTTTCTATAGATTATAAATATGATTTTTTTATATATTTCATTGAATAAATGTTAGAATTAATTTAAGAATAAGTAAGTTAATGACCGTCACTTTACCCAAATGTTTACGCGTGTTGCCTAAGATTATGTTAATTGCAGTTCCTGGGTTCGAGTCCCGGGAAACAATAAATTGTTTCGTTCGAGCATGACACGCAAGTTTCATCCATTACTTGCATTTAAAAGAAGTCCATCAGTGAAACGGACACAGAAATGTGTTCGCCCCATGCCCCAGTTATAACATAACCATTTGGCTACAGAGGCGGAGTGAATTCCGTTTCACTGATTGTAATTTTTTTACAGGTCAAGATCAGAGAATTTCAAAAGCCAAATCAGGTTGACAGAGCTTGTTCATATTGTTTAGATATCATAAAGCTAGGTACTTCCAAGGGAATGTTTTTTTTCGAAGCCCTGTATTATATAAAGTATATAATAATCAATATTCGTGCATAATCTGTCCGAGTCTGTACAACAAAAAAATGATAAGTTCCTTGTTATCATATTCATCCTAATCCCCAAGAACTGTGTGTTCCTCAGAAAAAATGGATACCTTTAAACTATGTCGGCCAAAACCATTTATAATTACTACATTATACACGTGACATCTTATCGCTGACGCATTAATAAAACAATTAACAGCTTGCAACACTATTTTGTGTTTCGTTGATAATTAATCGTGCTACAATTGTTTTTACTACATTTACTCTTGTTTATTAAAAAAAACACTTGTGAGCGCAGAAATAACACATTTGCTTTCAAGGCCAAGAATAACATTATCTAAACTATTAAACAGACAAATTATTCCGTCTGTAGCATCCATAGGGTTACAAGCTTTATTTTCTTTCTTTACTTCTATTCCATTGCCTATTGTCCAACACCGGTGTAACGCAGGTAACGAAATTGCATAAATTTAAAATTGGTGCCTTTATAGCTTATTCAATACAATATTGTCTAGTACAACAAAAGATTATACGCTTGTAAATCAACAAAAAGAAGTAAATCAACAATTCGATCTATTGTATTGATTACTGAAGTAAGTTTTTAACAAAACTGCCCTGGATGTAACGGACAGACATGTGTCCTCATCACATGGGATTCACGGAAATATCAATATAGCCTTTAGTACAACACAGGAAAAATAGCATCTTGGTTAGCAACTACATTAGAGCAAAATGAAAAATAATCGATTTTTAACGATGTAAAAACATCATCAACGTTAACCACAATTGAAAGAGAACTGCTTGGTGAAAAAGATGGCCACGACGGTCTACAAAGAGGACAACGAAGCGAGAAGGAACAATTTTAAGAAATAATAAAGGTAAAAGCATAACTTCAAATAGACATCTATTTCCCACACACAAATATATTGTGTACTCGCCACACGAATTTAAATTTCCCCGAATTTCCCATTTCCACATCGATCACTTAAAATTGTGAATTGACGTAATTTTATGCGTTCCTCAATGTTCTCGAGCTAAAAATAAACAATTGCACGCAGCCCACTTTACGAACTTTTAGTTTGATGATTCGCAAGAATTTTTCACACGATTGCTCGTATTGTGCATTACATAATTCTACGAGTATATACTATGATAACCACCTGCTACAACCCTTACTAATATTATAAATGCGAAAGTAACTCTGTCTGTCTGTCTGTTACTCTTAGACGCCAAAACACAGATGGTCTAGACGCTGAGAAAGGACATAAGCTACTTTTTATTGCGAAAAGGGGGGGGGGGGGGGTTTAAGGGGTATACGTTTGTATGAAAATTCGTGGTTTTTGAAGCTAGAACAATCAATCTTTCTTCTTTGGCTTTTTGGGAATAGGAGTGGGAGTGGGGGAGGGAGTGGGAGTGGGAATGGGAGTTAGAGTAGGATTGATGTGAGGTGAGAGTGTTGCGGCAAAGTAACACTTACAACATAGATTGGCTGCGACAAATGCGCAATTACATACATTAATAAACAGCCTAATTAATTAAAAATTCTACCCCAAGTCACTATTCCACACGAACGAAGTCGCGGGCACAGCTAGTAACTTATAAAAACAAATGATTTGCTTCTAGGCTTCTCTAGCTGTGCTGCCATCAATATCTATATTTCTATACGAATACATAGGGTAAAGCTGAAAAGTTTGTTTGTTTGTTTGAACGCGCTAATCTCAAATTTTTTTGTATTGGTTACAACATTTAATGAGGAAAGCTATAAAACATCGCGATGCGACATACAGAAGCAAAGAAACAGCGGGAAATGTGAAAAAAAAAACGGGAAAAACTATTCATTCTTGTGGGTTTCAGTTGCGTATGCTACGGAAACGGTTCAAGATAGGCAAAAAGTAAGTAGGAAAGAATCATTCATCTTTAAATGGTCTAAAAAAATGTCCACGACAGTATATGTCTAACTTGCAAGAACGAAGGGACGGACGATGTTGTGGGTAACAGCTATAACTTATAAAGGTGTGGAGGAGGTTTGCAAAAACAAATCTTGATGCCCGCAATAACTATTCTACGAGGACGTAGTCGCTGACACAGCTAGTTAGATTATAAAATCAAAAGGCCTTTTTTGGTAAAGCATGGTCTGTTTTAAGATACAGCGATGAGGAAAGAAGTGGCCTAATTTGGAACTGAAACACTCATGTCTTGACCGGATCGATAAAGGACAACATTCATGGATAACGTCTACACAAACTCTTCACTTATACAGTAAACCGCCATCTTTTTATTATATTATAGGAGCTATTATATTAAAATAAAACATTTTATTTAAGACTACATTGGTATTTATGTTTTTACGATTATTTGAACGGAATCCCAAACTAAAATAGAACCATTTAAATTTTTTAAATGCTACAAAATTCAACCTAATCTCAATTAAACTGCTTAATGTATACAATAGTTGAATTATATATTTATTTTATATGTAGATATACTTAGAAATAATAAAATATGGTTAAAGAACTACAAAAATGAATAAAGAAACTAAGAAGAACAAAAATATATTTCTATAAGAAAAGTATTAACCCTGATGTCTACATATTATTATCATTTTATCTCTGCAAAATCTTATCAAATCTTCGGTCAGTGCCTCTGTACAGATGGGTACGTATCAACAAATATTTCCCATATTACTTCACCTTTCAATCCAAACATTAACACAGCTGTTATAAAACATGATGTAATAAATAAGTAAAACGTATAAAATAAATGACTTGACTTACTTAAGTTCATAGTTCAGACGTCATTAACGTTTACAAAATTGTGTGATCATCCTGATGAATAATTATAATATATTAATATATTGTTCTTGACCTACAACGCACGCTTTATTGTCTGTAAACTACGCATTAAGTTCGTGATGTGTATTTGGAAAAAGGTTATTTACCTCTGAAGTTTCCTTTTCATCATAGGAATATTGATACGCTTGTTGAGCCCATGGTGTTATAATCAACGAATAGTGGGTTCGAACCCTACCACGTAATATGTTTTAATTCAAAGTTATATTTTTTCTGAAACTTGCTTCAGCAGCGCAGCACAGTACAGGATATAAGTTCGTCTAGAATATATGTATATTAATTGGATCTAAAAGTCTTAATTCCGTCTGAAAATCCGTAAATCTTATTCCCGTTTGGGTTTCAGTCCATGGATTTCCGAATTTCCGAAGCCAAAATAGATCGATAGCGCATATTTTACGTAGATATTATATGGCTGGGAAATTTCACCTTTCGTGAAATAAATCCCATGTTTCTCTGTCATCATTTAATTACTACTTACTTAATACGACTTAAGATATGTGTAAATATTAAATTTGCATTTATAGATATATGGATTCTCTGTTATTTTATAATATTATATAAAAAGAATGCATGTTTTGCAACGGTTTTAAATAAAAAATATGTAACTCAAAATCACTAATCAAATTTATACCTACGCTAGAATGTTGGGTTGCATTTTACCAATAAACCCAGCAGAAAAGCCACGTGCTAGTCACCTAACGATTGTGGTTTTATTTATTACCCCGTCCTACACTTGACTTTTGTAATATCTCTGTCACCAAGATTGTAATTACACGAATTAACGAAACAACTGCGCTTGTGATTCACTGAAATTGCTTAACTCTGACCTTTTTTGACGTTCATTGAAGGCCGCTGGTCTTTCCTAATAAACGATTCCGTCTAGAATTATTACCTGAACTGGCTCTACCCAAGGTGAACTTTTATAATAAAAACAAAAGAATACCTCGAAGGATAATGAGATGAGTGTCCTCATTAAATAAATTATGTCTGCAAACTTTTATTGGCTTTATTGCTATTTTATATAACCGCGCGGTTTTATTTATATTTTGCAACGCCCTGTTAGTTAACATAACAGCTATAAATTTAAACTCGCAGATGACACAGATAAAATGAGAGCACCAAGTGTCAAATGTCAACGCACTGTTTACAGCTGATGAATCATTTAACTAAACTCCGGTTAACTGCAGATCTGTTGCCTAACTGTCTTAATTGAAGTTAATTGAATTTGCAAGGACTTTCCAAAAACAGGTATTTCATCTGAATTTACGAACAAGTTTCGCAACTTTAATTGCAAAAACTATTACATACCGCTTAAAGAAAAAGACAAAATGCATAACACATGTTTATTTCAACTAAATTGGTTAGTTACATTTACGTTTTTCACTACACAGTTTATTGCACAGCCACGATTTGTCACTATCACATTGACGATCATCCTCCTGGGCTGAAGTGCAATCTGGTTCCAGAGTGCGTAGAATACCACTCCGTGGTAGCCGCAGCTTCATAACTTCTTCTCCAGTGCCTCGAATCAGACGAGTTCAAGGCTCTTCATCTTCAGATAGCGAGGGCAGTGCGAGATGACGCCGCATCCTTTCCCTTCGCTGGGGCGAAACAGACTTCTGTCTACGAAGGTCTTCAGGACGAAGAACGAAAGTTTCTCTCTCAGCCTGGAACTCTCCTTCGGAATCATCTTCCACCAGAGCCGGTAGAGGAGTGCTCAATTTTTGGCGCTTCTCGGCTGCGCAGTCCATCTGCCTGCCGCGTGATTTCTGGCTTGGGTAAACGTCCGCGTACATCGCAGCGACTGATAGTTTCACGACCATTTTGTTTAGTTAAACGTACGATCACTTTGAATTCTGATTACAGAGTGCGGGGGAAGTGGGCCGCGCAGACTTTTATAGCCTTTGCGTTTTGCGCGCGTGTGCGTTCATGTGAATCGAGGATGTGTGAACCGGCGACTACATCAGAGTAAACAACGCACGCTACGTCGGTCTTTATCGAGGGGATTTGTTTGATGTCACAGCTATCTGCATATTCAATTGCAATATCGTTCAGGTAAATCGGGACCGATGCTTGACATACCAGTGTAGGATCGAGATAACAATAGATACCTCCCAAATGTTTGAGCGCTTGTAATAACAAGTAATAGATAATATTTACACAGGTATGAGACTATGAATTGTGGTATATTTTAAATAGCTTTAATTCACATATTTTGTACTTATCTCGATTGTGTATAACCCTTATTTTAGTAGTTTCAACAAAATTACAATATTTTGGTAGGTATAGAAAAACTGAACAAAACCACGCACAAAGTTTTACATAATAATACGATTTTGTCATAAAAAACTAAATAAACAAACAATAACGTACAGAATTAAAATAATGATAAATTATTAAAAAAGAATAATTAAATTATGTTTACAGTGTAATTTTTTATTAACACTTGTTTTTTTCTGTTTGTACATTGTCGTTATCAGCGATAGGTCACTGTTGAAACAAACCGATAACTAATGGAAAGCTTGTTAGTGACCATTTTAACAATTATTCTAGACTTTCAGTCTCAATCTTATCAGACTCTAATTACTATTATCAATATCTACAGCGTAGAATTGAGTTATCTTTGTAAATACGTAATATAAAATTCGTCTTTTCAATTTGTAACAAAATTCGTGATGCTTACTAATAAAATAACCTCTCCAGAGCCCGTTAAAATACCTACAAAGATTTTTTTATGATAGAGGAAGACAGACAGAGCTATTTTAACTTTGGATATTCGGAAATCCACAGAGCGAACCGAAACGCGATTAAACTCCACGCCTTTCATCTGTGGTGGTTCGTGACTCGGACGGAATCTTAATATCCCTACCGCCTATTTATTTTCCAGATTTCCAGGCGAAGTCCAATGTCGCAGAAAGATTATAAATTGATTAGAAAAATGTTGCACCTGGTGGGGATCGAATACACGATCCGTTGATTATAAGCTAGGTATACATTGCAACTACACCAACGAGTCGATCAAAAATATACGATTATAATATTCGACGAGAAATAAATTTTAAACTGTTACTCATATATCTAAGTTTAACATCGATTTACACCCTAAAACTTTCTGGAAGTCTATTAATACAGATAAGATTAACAAAAACAAGTGAGCTCGGGAAACCCGCGTGTACTACATAACGTGGGTGGAAAACAGACATCTAACGACACATAAACAGGATTTCATTTAAACAGGTTGGGTTTTCTCGGTTATAATATTATACAGATGTGCAATGTTTTTGCGTGAAAAATTTTCTTATTTCTTCGAAATAATGGATATCTCTACGACGTAAATTCATGTCTCGACCATGTCATGATACTACTATATACTAATATAGTCGGGCAAAGCCAAAAAAAACCCTTTAAAAAAGGGGAAATTTTTTTTTTTTGTCATTGTAAAAACAGATACGAGACATACCCAAAGTCCAGTTAGAATGGGAGGCCCATTAAAAAAGTTTTTTTTTTTTTTTTTTTTTTTTTTTTTTTTTTTTTTTTACTATATTAGTCTCCATTTTATTTAATTTAGGTTTAATTATTTTTTTTTTTTTTTCCCTTTCACATAAAAATTTAAAATAGTAGATCTATTTAAGCTCGGGGTTCGATCTCAGAAGGTTTATACGATGCATGTGTTAACCAAAGAAGGGCTTCTAATTAGCTTGGAATAGTATATTTCATCAAATTTAAATACATATTAGCTTTGGACCGTTTCCGCTGCCCCAAAGTTCCCAATTTTTCCCGTATACTTCCACATTTTCTTCGATCATATTGGTCGCAGTACGATCTTATATAGCCTATAGTCTTCCTCAATACGACACAATTTTCCAACTCGAACGAAGTAGTTACTGAGATTAGCGCGTTTAAACACACACACTCTTCAGCTTTATAATACTAATATAAAAGTTAGCTCATAAGAATATAATTATATTGTATATATATACATTAACCTGCTGATGATCGTGAATAAAACAATATTTTATTAATACTTGAAAAAAACCAAACTAATAATTTTCCAGGAAAACATAACTACGGATAATGACTGAAATAACAAACGAGGAAAAATTACATTGATAAATGATAAGAAACCGATTGTATAAAGGCAATTTTTCCTTACTGAGAAAAATGCGGGTTTTTTAAATTTAGTGTTTTGTTTTATATTTAAACTAGCTTTGTTTGCGACTTTGTCCGTGTAGAATAGTAATTAGGACATCAAATTATTTTTCCATCAAAATGATTGCTGTGACCCAAGACGTCTTCCGCATCCCGAAGTTCTTTCGAATTAATCTTAAAAGAAAAAATATATACGCGGACATTTTTTAGATCATTAAAACATGAAATAATCTTACACATATATTTTTTGGTTTCTTCAATCGTTTTAGCAGCGCACAAAACGGAAGGCCTCAAACTTCAAAGACTAATAATTTTCCATACTGTTTCTGCGCTCCTATAGATCGCAGCTTGTTATATAAAGCCTTCATTGATATATTATGGTCTTACCAACACAAGTACAATTTTTCACTGACTGCCTTGACTTAGATCTTTGAATTTTATAAATATATTGTGATCCTAAAAATAAATACGTAGGTATATGTATTCAAAAAAAGTAACAATCAAACCAAACAAAAAAATAATCTTAGGAGGCCCATTCTAACTGGACTCTGAGTATGTCTCGTATCTGTGTATAAAATGATTAATTAAGAATTGGTCCGTTTTTAAACGGTTTTATTTAGCTTGACCCGTACGGAATTTATTTATTTGGGTCAAACTTAGAAATTGAAATCTAAGCGCCTTCCCGTTGTCAAATTGATCTGAAATTTGGTACACACATTTAATTTAGATGGCAATATAATATAATAAAATCAATAACATTATAAATCCAAGATGGCCATCTTGGATTTACAATGATCTGCCAGGTCGTACTCATTAAAAATGACACTTGTCAACATCTAATCAATATGTTAATTATCTGTGGCGTCCGTTACAGACGTAAAGGTTTTGTTATTTATGCTCATGTCGACATTAACAATATAATTAAAGCTAATTATTGCACAAAGACTTCTTAACAAAAAAATATTATGAAATTTTGTTATTAAAAACACGTACAAGTAATTTCCTATTTGCGGTAATGTAAAATTATTGTGTAAGTCCAAGTAGAGTTATTAAGTCCAAATGACTTGAGAGGGTTTACTAAAGATATAAACTATTCTAGTTTTTCTACACAATACAATGTTTTATTTACAATATAAAATTATCAGTAATATTTTTTAAACATTAATACATATTCTTGGCGTTTCCACATATTGCTTCTTGTTCGGCTTCCCTTTTTAACTTTTATTTTATGAGACTTATTGTTACAATTATCTCATGTTCCAGTAATTAAGTTGTCGTTGCTTTAGTACCGTATTATGTGTTATGAAAATATAAGTATCTTTTACTAATGTTATTTTATTTTAATAATCTTAAGTTACTGGTATAGGGCGAGCGTATTTTCAGGTAAACATCTAGACAAATTGTTGTATGCTGTCGTAAAAAATATAATTTTAGTCTGTTTATCATTATAATCAGCATTTCAAAAACGTTGAAAACACCGTTGAATATTTCCCAAATGTTGGCTGAACCGTAATCCATACTGTAGACAGAAAAAAACAGTATTGACGTCAACAAACCGTGACCCAATTCATGTTTTTACCATCTGCTAGTCGAAATATTGAATTCGAAGTCGAAAAATTGATAAACATAGGTCAAGTTGCATTGAAAAACAGAAAATATTCGAAGCTTTGATAGATTCGAGAGTTTTTTTATTTTGGGAACTAAAACCTTTTTTTTTTAACATGTAATCAAATGAATTTTCTTATATTAGATCAACGTATAATATTAGTCATGCTTATAATGTATGTATGTGTGTTTTTTTTTTTTTTTTTTAAATAGAATATGTTGTAGAAATTAAATTAATTCTATGTCAGAAGTATATAAGCAAGGTATTTATTTTTTATTATACACAAAAATAATCTAACGTTATATGCAACATAACACTGACAAACCCTATTTACAATTAGCTGTGAATGCAACATTTTTCAACATTATTGTTTTTCCTATCTTTCGTGAAGCACAAAGGTTCTAATTTCGCGACGCAGTCACGGTTATTTGCTTGTATGGAGCAAGAAGAGTCGTCTTACCAGCATGGCTGACCGACATTCGATGCCATAATACCCGGTGTAAGTGGATTTATAGTAATCAGAGACATCGACCTTCGACGCTGGATGCAAGATTGTCCTCAATGCAATTAATTTAATTATGCACTTCTAGTTTGCTTAAGCAGAGACGAGGTGAGTTGGCGATGCTTCGCGTTGTTAAGTGTTTACCTAAAAAAAGTAACTTATTTTCTCATATGCAACATTATTCTTTCTTATTTTATTCTCATAATATTATTATATAATTTAGGTATGAAACTGTGTATATACCTATATTATAATATTTCTCAACTTTTTTTTAAATTGCATATATTTATGACGATATTTCAGCTAAGTTATTTCAGTTTAAATTTATATATAAGAAAACCACGTGTAGCGATAAATGCCGTTCGTAAGTGTGGCATTTTCCACACGATAGGAGTCAGGACATTTTGCTGTGACCCCTTGACCCCAAAGGGGAGAGGGTGCAAAATACCAAAGGTCCCGAAAGGTCAACGCGTTGTTGTCTCGTTGCGAAAATTATTACAGACAGAAACGACCGGCTTACCACCCCTTACTTAATAATGTCAATCATAAATTAATATAATAAAATG